GCAAAGTAAATATGTCTATATGGAGATGTAAAGGAAATAGTCCCAGCTCAGTGAGCTGAGCTGAGCTGAGCTGAGCTAACTCCCTGAGGCATGAAGGATCACCACAGTGAGGACAAGGGAAGCAGCAGCACAAGGCAGGCAGGGAGGGTGAAGGGAACAAACCCAGCTGTGCCCTTGGCTCATCCCCAGGGATGGAGTGACCAGGACACAGTCAGTGGCTCCAAGTTTGCATCCCCATTCCCACCTCCTGCCCCAGCCTGTTCCTGGTCCCAGGGAGAGACACACCAGGGAACAGGGGCTGGGGAGGGGTTTAGACATCCACCTCTCTCTGCATTTTTCTCCTGTGTGGCTCAGTTTCCAGAGGGAATTCACCAGGCCAAGTGTGCAGGCAGCTCTGAGGCACAACAAAAACAAAAAACAGCCATGGCAACCAAATCTGCAAAATGGCCAGAATCCCACGAGGGAACTGCAGGTTTAGGTTGGGGCAGGATTAGGCTCATCCTGAAGGAAAAAAACCCTCAGACTTAGAAAACTTTTCACTTCCTCAGACTTCATTATATGAAGAGCTGCTTAAGCAGCTTGGAGGCCTCCAGAATCTGGTGAAAATTATGGTTTTTAGTAAGAGCTTTGGGTTAAATAATCTTTTTTTGCTTATGTGTTTTATTTAGGACAAATTCCTGGCTCTCTCCTGGCCATATAGAATCATGAAAGGTTTGGGTTGGAAGGGAGCTTAAAGATCATCTCGTTTCACCTCCTGCCATTCAGTGTGGTGTAGAAAACAAAATAAAAGAAAAGTCATTATTGAATGTGTCTTTCATGACCCAAGCTGAAGCTCTGGAAGACAGGCCACTTGTGTCCAGGTATGATCCTCCAAAGAGCTGGATTTGGCATTTTTCTAGGCAAAACATTCCTTCAAGTTTTGCTGCTAAAAATAAAGAGGAGCATAAACTTTTACAACCACCCCCATAGTACTAAATTTGACACCCCAAGCACTGTAGGATGCTGGAAGTGCTCAGTGTTTTGTACCACGATGAGGGGGAGAAACACCCTTGAAATGCACTTTCTGTGTTACCCTTTCAGCTATATACACAAAACAGTGGCAGAAGTATTAACTCTGCTCATAAATTCCAATATCTACTGGATACATTTTAAAAATGCTTAAAAAGTTGGTAAGCCCCCAACTTTACAAACAGCAGGGAAAGAATCCAAGTGAATCAAAGTCCAAAACCAGAGAGGTTCGAAGTTTAATATTTACTTCAAGCAAATATTTCACCACTTTGGCCGTGAAGGCCAAGCCGTGAGGGGATTGCTGTGAGGGCCGAGCTGTGACGGGGATGCCATGAGGGCC